GGCAAATGAGCAACGCGCGAGATTCCGAGATGCGGCAAAAGGTGCAACCTCCACCTCCCCGCGGCGGCGCTACTGCCCCGCGATCACAACAGACAGGGAAGAGAGAAAGAGAGGAATTGAGAGAGTGTGAGAAAGAAACCAAGAGAGATCGAGAGACCCGTGAGAGGAAGCAAAGAGGGGGAGGAGAGGGCAAGCAGAAGTTGGCGAGCTTGGTGGAGAGGGATGGACGGCAAGTTAGAGAGAGAGGTAACTGAGTGACGGAGAGGGTTCGTAGGGGTAGGGTCAGGAGGGGAAAAGGGAGAGGAAAAGGGAGTCGGAGGGAGGCATATGAGACATTCCTTCAGTGAACGGGTCGACCGAGTGTGAGTGCAAGCGAGCCGGTAAAATCGATGTGGCGAAGTGTGGCTGTGCCACTACGGCGTGCAAAGGGTGTGCTGTACCCTGTACGTGATCAGTAATCTACCTTGTGGCGTTATGTCGTATAGTCAAACAAATCGCAGTATTAGCCATTAAATTATATCTATCAAGGACATAAAATATATATTTAAAATACTTTTCTGCATATACCTAGTAAATATAGACTAAAATTCTTTATAATATATCTGTTTTTGTAATATTATCTCATCGTGATCACCAATGTAGTTTTTCCTTATGTTACACTCCTTAATATATAAAAATATTTGTCTTACATTCTATTCGTTTACTTTTTCCTATTTCTATTCTTTTTGTTTAGTTGTTTATCATTCTTATAATAATCATATTATTCTTATAGATTTTTTAAATTCATTACTTATTTTTCGTACAATGTTTTTCATGTGTTAATTAAAGGTTTCATGTTTAAAACATTTTTTAGAAAGTTTATGTACGTATAATTGAGATCTCAACAAATCATAGGTATTCAATGATAAATTGTTGATTTTATCAACATCAATAGTAAAAGTACATACCCAATATGTTTATATAAACTTGGCGATGTACGCTTGTGATTAGCTGCAACATTGTTTTAATTTGTAGAATCTTGGACTGTCTTGTACGATCGTACTAAATATCGTGTACAGAGAATGGCACCTGCCTTGGAATTGAAAAACTTGAAGCGCCCTCACAGTGGTTCCACTAGTTACGCTCCTGCAATACGCCGTGCCGACGTGTGCTTTAGCCAGTGCGAGGGCGTATTAGCGAGATGTAGTCCTAGTGGAGGGGATTGGAAGAACCAAGCGTACGCGTGAGATGACGGCTCAACGAACGAACATAACTGGTCGGATAGGCGGGCAGGCGGGAGCGTATGTCAGGTTTAGGTTGAACCACGCAACATTTCTCAGTAGTCGCGTTCCTACACTGTGATGGTGCGGTTGTACGTCGTTTTTTTACAGTGCTTTCTTTAATTTCGTGTTTAATTTTTATTCTATCTTTACGTTTGCCACATTTTTAACCACAGCTGGATAAATTATCGGTACAATTCGCAAATTAAACATTTCTGTGATACTGCACGTGTGTATTTATATTTAAAACTTTTCTGTGCGATTTTGTATTCGCATATTAGTGTACCCTTTTGTTACAGTTTAATGCATAACTGTTGTTTTATTATACACAACTATTATTTATTGTGCGCACTTAATAATGTGTGATTTAAGTTTATGCCATTTCCACTGCTTTTATCATTTGCATTACAACTGCGAACTTTAGAAGTATGAAATATTGAAGTGTAAAAGCGACCACCAAATAGTGTTGATGTTACAAGTTTTGCGCGTGCTTTTCGTTTTGAGAACACGGTTGAACGAGATGACGGAATAGAACTACCTTATACTTAGCGATGCGACACTCAGCAAGGAACAACGTTGCAATTTTTCGGATGCTATGACAACATCGCATCAACATAGTGTTTACTTTCCTCGATGTACGTATTAAATAGTTTCAGTATATCTGCTTAATATTATACAATGT